TTTTTTCCTTTTCACTTTCCAAATCCATTGAAGTTATCTAACCCTCTATTTCCCAGGAAATCTCCTTTCCAAGGGATAGTCAGATCTTACCACCATTCTTGGCAAAATAAACTGTTAGGTATTTTATCTTACCTATCAGTGACAATTAAAACTTACATATCAGTGACAATTAATCTTTATGGCATAATAAGCCAAAAGTGTATTGGTTTAAAACATCCATTTACATAACTTGTGATTCTGTGAGTGGGTGATTTGGGCTGGGGAGAGCAGGCAGTTCCAGTTTCAGCTGGGCTCAATCAGCACCCTCTGGGGTCACCTGTCAGGTCAGCTGGAAACTGGTTGGTCTAGAATGACCTCAGCTAGAATGGCTGTTCAAACATACTCACAAAGCAATTGAGCAGAATTTCAAAGATCTAGACTTGAAACAGACAGACCATCGTTCTGTCATATTCTATTGGCTAAAGTAAATTTCAAGGTCAGCCAAGATTTAAAGATTGAGTAAAGACACTTTGTCTTTTGAGGGAAGCTGCTGTAAAATCACATTGCAGAGAACACAAATACAGGGAAATTTGGGCAACTGTAGCCATTTTTCTAAGCTGTCTACCAAAGTATGACTGAATTTAATAAAACAACAAAATATGTAAAGTTTTAACTACATAACATACTCTACTACGTGCTCCTTACATAAGTATACACTTAATCATTTTCCAACAAACATACTTACTTGTTAAAATGAAGCAGGTATTTAAAATAAATTCAATTAGGTTTGCCAAACATTTCTCTGTGTAATGCTTAGGTATTGCACTACTCATGGAACATTATGGGCAAATGAGAAAATCACTACCACTAAGAAGCTTTCAGTCCAGTAGGAGAAACAAATAGGTAAATATATGTAATTATAGATATAGAAGCCCAAATGGGATTACAGGAGAAGGGCACATCATTTGTAGCAAGTGACCCAGAGAAGGTTGTGGAGTGTCAGATATCACAGAAGCTAAAAAGAATGGGAGATATGGCATTCCAAGCATTTGGACACATAATACTGAATTCTGAATTCATAGCTCCCCACCTTTGTCAGAAGGTGAAAAGTAATAATAATAATAACAATAAAATTACTTAATTCACTGAGGACTTGGGTTATCAAGAATAACATATTTGATACTAGAGATTGAACTCAGGGGCTACCAGTGAGTTACAACACAGCCCTTTTTTGTTTCTTATTTTGAGACAGAGTCTTACTAAATTGCCTAGGTTGGCCTCAAACTTTCCATCCTCCTGCCTTGGCTTCCCATGTTGCTGGGATCATAGATGGGCACCACAATCACCAGCAATACAAGGAACTTTAAATAAGGTACCATTAAAATGGTCCACCAGTCATTTTCTATTACTTGCATGTATTAATCCCAGGCAAACTTTGGTCCTTGTTCTACACCTAAATGTAATGTTAGTTTCATTTTAGTCTTTTTTTTTTTTTTTTTTTTTTTTTTTTTTTTTTTTTTGCTACTGTCACCAGAGGACCCTATCAGAACAGCTGTAAAGAAGGAAAAGTTTATTTAAGGGCTCACAATTTCAGAGATCTCAGTCCATATACAACCAGCTCCATCATGGTGGAAGAGAATGGCAGAGGAAACCAACGCACATGATAATCAAGAAGCAAAGAGAGAGAGGTCTCCACTTGCCAAATACAAATATATATACCCCATAGCCACACTCCCAATGAGCCACTTTCTCCAGGCACACCCCACCCGCCTCCAGTTACCACCCAGTTAATCCCATCGGGATTAATTTACTGATTATGTTAACGCTATAACCCAATCATTTCTCCTCCAGACCTTCTTGCATTGTCCTGCACATGAGCTTTTGAGGGACACCTCACATCCAAACCATAACAATGTTGCTTGTTTTTCTGACTCTCTAGCACTCCTTAACACTCAATTACATTTAGTATCCATGTTCCTCTATTTTTAGCACTTAGGATTTTAGGGCTAGTTCATTCTCAAAAATGATGTGACACCCACCGCCCCCCCTTCGGTTGACTTGGGCATTTATGTATGCATCCAATTTTTGAAGTCCCAGTACCAATCATACATTTATTCATATAATTATCAAGAACTGGCTACAGGTTATTACTATTATATAATAGTAAACAAAACCGTGACAACCTCCCTTTTTGTGACTCTTATAATCTCTAGAAATATATTGATATTGATGCAAGAATTATACAAATGACTTTCAGTTGTGATTATATACCCTATAAAAATAAGTGGTATTAGAACAAAACAAGAAACATTTCATTAATCTCCTGAGAGATAAGCTGAAATTAACTGTAAAGTGAGTTGGAGGGAAGTAGGGAAGAGTCCCAGGCTGATGGCATATGTGCCAGGGCTGGGTGTGAAGGAATCTAGCAGTTTGGCAGAGCAAGAAGATGGCCAATATGGCTGTATCCAACTGAGAAGGAAAGAGACTCCTAAGAGATGGGGCCAGAGAGTCAGGAAATATCCCATATTCAGGACTGGATCTACCCCACTGCATAAGTATACTTTTATCTGAAATCATGCCATACTTCGGATGTATGTGACTTCAATGTAACCCTAACATAATTTCCTATTTTATTTGCAATTTATCATTCAAATGATATCTAGCTTCTCACTTCACAAAATCACCTTCAATTCCGACAAATCATTTTCTTGAATATTTCTTGAAAAAAATCCTCAGGACAATAAGGTTGGATGAAATTTGACCAGTAGCTAGGATCTAAATAGTGTTCCTAGTATATAAAATCTTTGACAGTATTGAAGACATCTCCTAGGATATAGGATAGAGAATGGTAAAACACTAGAGCTGGAGTCTGATTCACTTGGCTTTCTGCCTCTTTAAGGATAGCCAACCTTCAAGTTATGCTTCCCATTCTTATCCCTGGAATTTGAGAAGGTCAGACAATTTCCCAGGACATTTGAGGTATTCAGCCAAATCTTCCTCATCTTTGTTACTCTCCGAAACCTTTGTCTTGAATCTCCTGTTTTAACTTCTCTTAAATTGGAACTTGGAGCAAATGTGCCCCACATGCAAATACTTGGCTGTTTTCACATGCAAGACAAAGATGAAAATCAAAACTATAAAAACAAAAATAGAAAACCCTTAAAAACTGGGCAGTGGATAGAGCTCAGTGGTAGAGCACTTGCCTAGCATACATGCCCTGGGTCTGATCCCCAGCACCTAAAATAAAGAAGAAAACGTTTAAAACCCACATTGATGGAGAACAGGTATGTTGTGTTTTGAGGATGATGGGGAATTTGATAGAAAGCAAATCAGTTCTGAAAGGGGAAGTCAGGCTCCTTCTTACTTCTCTGAGGCTGACATTCTTGATCACATTGTTGTTTAGTTTCCTCCTTTTCCTATACACTGTCTAGCAAAGAATTAACATGCTACCCTTGTTCTTTACCCCTATATCCCCTGTGCTACCCCTTCCCAAGACCAGCAATAAAATCACCCTACTCTAAACTTACAGCCATTTGGGGTTTTCCCCTACCATAATACAAAAATCCATCCTTTATTTAATTCACCTTCATTTTTCCTACACTTTACTCAGCATGTGACACTTTGGTACATACTTGTCAGTTCACCTGAGTGTAAAGAAAACCTGTGCAAACTTTGAGGTCAAAAGTTTCTGAATCACTCCTTTACCCTGGAGGTCACTTTATCTGAGAGTTGTGATGCCATTTATTATCAATTATCAGAGTCGAAAACCTAGTGTTGAATTAAAACACTTTCCATTTTAGGAGCTTAGTTCCTGCGCTGGATTCTGTTATTTTAAAACTTTAGCTAAAAATTTCCCCCGGAGGTGACTGAGTTTTCTTAGTCCCCAGGGGAAGCGGCTGTGAATGACTTCTCACAATGCTTTCTCTGAGAGTCGCCAAGTTCACTTTTTGCAACCTAAGTGTTATGAGCTTCAGTGCCTGCCAGGGGCATTCAAATTAAAGGAAGGAATGAAAATTCTAAACGGAAAGCTTTAAAATAGAGAAAGCGTAAGGAAAAGAGGTAATAAAGTGGAAAACAAAGCTTGGAGTTCTAATCTCACCCTGAGCAGCAGAACCTGAAGCAAACTGCTTCTGTTTTCCAGTTCCATCAGAGACTCAGAGGCTTTCCTTTGAAGATGAAATGTCTTAGCACAGTAAAGCACCCAGGACTCAGTTGGTACTCAGGCTTGTTAGTTTCTTGACCTTAGCTTTCCTAAGGTCTAACTAGCCAAGTAGGACAGGGAATAACTCATGTTTTGTTTTTTAAATGAACTAATGGAGGCTCATTGATTTATGCAGTCAATTATAAATGTGAGCAACAGCCAAACAGGCAAGTTACTTCAGGAAAAAAAAAAAAAATCCTCAGGTCACTGAAGTGGCAATTAGCAAGTATTGTGGGGAGAAGGAGGGGAAGTGGAGGAAGGAGGAGGAGAAAGGGCTGATGAAGCAAATTGCCTTTAATTATCCTTAAACATTTTCTCCTCTTCTTTTGATGCCATAAGACCCCCTGCAGTTCCAAAATAAAATAAGCCTGAGTTTTGTTTTGCTCTTTTAAATAGGAACATAATAGCCACTGTGGAAACATGTTCTTAATCAAAGGTATTAAACTCCTGGCTGCTCTTCTCCGTTTGAAATTGCCTGGGTTCATTATTATCAAGGGGAAGAGAAGTCTAGTCACCATTTAACTCTCTTTTTTAGTAAATTAAAATATTAATTACAAAATACGTTATTTTTATCTTATATCTTAAGCTATTAGTTACTGTGGCTGGAGAAAAATCGGCTTCATTCTCCTCTAAAGTAATTTTCTTAACAAAGCATTCATAGTTACTCTCTAGTTCCTGGAAATCAAATCAGCACATGAAATGCTGCATTTTGAGAGCCATCTGAATAAATTAGATAGCAACTTCATTTATTTTTTGTCTCAGAGATAAGTGTGCAATTACAGTTGCCGGGTCCACGCGCTCAGGCCATGTGACCGCTCAGACTGGGGCCGTTGACTAAGCGAGGGGATGCAGCCAATGCCAGGCAGAGCTGGAGAGGAAAGAAAAGAATGTTTCCCTTTCATTTCTGCCGCACAATGCAGTAATCGATCTTATGCCCGTAGACACAAATGCTCAATCTCTGGGAAAGAGGCAAATAAAGCCACAGAATAGACATTAGAGCCAACTAAAACCCTCATTGTCTGCCTTTTCAAAGACTCAAATTACTAGCAAGGTACTGCAGTGACGGTAGAAAACTCAGGCCAGCGGCCATCAAGCCCACGGAGCATATGAAGATAACTGGTACCAGGGAACTGAAAGTCATCACAAGATGAACTGAAGCTGGAATCACTCCTACAGGTGAGAGTTACATATACGGTAATTATGCATTAAAAGGGGTTATTCAGGGGAGGGTCTACAAGCCACCATCCCCCTTGGAAAATAGTTCCTCCTTTCCTACTACTGGTATGATCCCTGAAATAAGATCTTTCTCTCTCACATTTGGAAGGATACTCAGCTTAAGAGGTCACCATTTAATTTTAGAAACAGCTAGGAAAGTAATACTTAGAGTCAACACCATTTATTAAGTGCCCATTATGTCCTAAGCACTTTACGTATATTATTTCTTGAATTGTTCCAATCATCTTATGATGTAGATATTTTTTATAGTACCATATTAGTCGAATGAAAATTGAAGCTCAGACAGATTAAGCAACTTGAACAACTGGCAAATGATAGAGGAAAGACCTAAATTCAAACATCTGATTGTAAACCCTGACTCTTGCTATATCTAACAACTTCTAACTTTTGGTGTTGTCTGAGGGTGTTGGGGACAGGGTGAATAGACTTTTGAAAACAGAAGGGAATACAAAAAGGGAGGTGGACGGAGCACCAGCAAAAAGAGAGAATCAGCCCTAGATATGCCCTCTGAAGAGAAACTATTCTTTGCCAGACTGCCAGATGGAAGCATCAATGCTTGGCCTGCTCATCCCTCCTACTAAACACCATCCAAACCAACCTTCTTTTTAGGCCTTTGTACATATGTCTCACCAAATTGCACAAAACCCACAGCTCCTGTGGATAAGCGAAGCAGTTTTCATTCTTTCACATGCACTTCTCTTTGTCCTAAGCGAATTAAGGGCAGGCTTAACACATCAAAGACACTTGGAGGCAGGGGACTGCAGGGCAGTGTGGCAGGGCATGGCTGCACTGCCATCTGTGGAGCTTAGGGTAAATTACTTGACCCTTCGTGCCTCTGATTCCTCATCTGACAAGGGCGGGTAAGGGCAATGCCTCCTTTGCAGGATTCCTAGCAGGTAGAAAATGTTGAATGGATGTTATAGCAAATAACACTCATCATTTGATTTAGCTGAGTAGAATAGCATTCCTCTGAGGTGTCCTATCAGATAATTCCCAAGCCATGCAAGTTCAGTAAATGTCAACTACTTGATCTGCTCTTACAAAGGCACAAAGTATCTTGGCATGTAAATGATGCCCCCAACCCCAGTAAGAAACCTGTTTTAGTATATTTGCAATGATAGATATTTCATGAAGCACACTTCAGGTATTGGTGTTCCAAAGAACTAGCTACAGAAATGCTGAACTAGAACATAGTAATGTGAACACTAGAGCACTTAACTGTGTATGTATATGTTTTACTGCATATGTTACAGAGTAGGAAAGGGAAGAAGAAAACTTTCATACTTGAAACCAAAACCCTTTTATTAATTCCAAAGTCAGCTGACCACGTAAGAGAACCACTAAGAACAAGTTTCTAATTGCCAAATTCTCGGTCTCTAAACACATGTCCATGAGTCTGTCTCATCGATAGGAATCAGTGTTATGCATCTTTGAATTTCCAACATCTCAGAGATCAAAACTTTGTCATTGCTCAGAATGTTTGTAGAACAAAAGAGCAATACCCAACCAGGAAGTGGATATCCAAGAATGGGTGATCCAGTGAAAACTTACCACCAACTCAATTGAGTTAACTTTTGCTGAGTCAATGCCAAACCCACCTGAAGCAGACTCTGAAGCCAAGCAAAGAGTGTAAGAGATTAACTGGGGAGACAACACTGAATGAAAGACAAAGGGCAGGAAGCAGAACTGAGTGAGGAGAGTCCCCCAGCCTGCAATGCAGACCAGAGGGACATTCCAACCACCCAATGCAGAACCCCAGAACAGGACTGCAGAAATGGTCACAACCCATTTCCCCTGCTGAGCTCAGCCATGGGGTGGGGGTTGGGGGGGCTACTGGGCCTTGGCTTGGACACCGCAGCAGCAGATCTCCAGTGCTGCAGCTGGAGACTGTCAGCTAACTGCATTCCTGGAGGCTGAATGGGAAATTCTTTCTTGAAGCAAGAACCAGCAGTGCACCTCTTTGGTTGCCACAGAGAGCCCCTTCTATGTGCCAAGCTCAGTAGGAAGAGATAAGCAAGGATTAACCTGTGCACTAGAGGAGTCTGTAGTTTGACAGGGAAATAAACCAAATACTTAAACAAATCCCAGAAAGCTGAATGTGGATAGTCTTTCTAAGGAAAGAAAAATCTACCATGGGTGATTGATTAACAATGTCTGCCATGAATGAAAGAAGAGGTAAGTTGCAATAGACACATATTTTCTATTCCTGGCCTATCCCTCCTCTCTTTCAATTTAAATTTCAAGGTGCCCCTGAAGTCTCACACTTTTATAATTTTCTTGAATATTACTATCTCTCCTTTTGTAGCCAGCTCAACTATTTATTACCTTCTCATAATTTATCACAGAAATCACCATTCCTGTGTTATGTTTTAATTGTTCCTATTACACTTCGCCTCACAAACCAAACCATGAACAGTCTACAGTATTTCATACTTTCCTATCCTCCCCTTTTTTGAATAGCCCACACCCCTTAAAACATTACAGAAAAAAATAGTATCAGTCCATATCTACACTTGTATATGAGGCTCATTTGACTAGACTCATACTTTCTGAGGAAATCATAAATGTTGTTAAAGAATCCAACTATTTTATATATTTTTTTCAGAATTAATACTCCAAAAGAAAGAAGCACTGTTCTCAGCTGGGACATGTCTGGGTCTATACTTGTACTTGTTTGCTTCAAGTATATATGCTTTTACTGGACACCACAGCAGCAGATCTCCAGCGCTGCAGCCCATTGTAGCAGATTGAATTGGGTCCTCCTTTTAAATACGTTGAAGTCTTAGCCCCCAATACCTCAACATTTGACCTTATTCTGTGGGCAGCTATAGGTTAACTAAGGGAGAACATGAAGGCTTTAGGAACATTGTGATAATCTGGGTCAGTTTTGTTCCACCACCTTCCAAAATGTCTACCTTTAATTTTGTACGTTAACGCAAATTGCTGTGCAAATAAAAAGTTATCACCCATACCCCTTCCAATAAAACTACCACCATAAGCTACAAACAGGAATTCTGGAATGGCTTTTGCTACTTTCCTTGGAAATGCATGCAAATAATAGAGTGTAGTCTCCAGTTCTATTTTCTCTATTGAAATCCTCCAGGGACTGGTGAAGTCAACTCTACTTCCTTAAAATCACCACTTTTGCTATTTTGGTTCACATCCAACCTCTCTCCAAGGATGAACTTTCCAGTTAACTCCCTATAGAAAGAAACAAATATACCAAGGAGAGAAGAATAAGGTCGAAATGAATCATAATTTCTTTTTATAAATTAGTTTGCCTTTTATGCATCTGGCTTTATTTACCAGAAAAGAAAGACATTTGTTTCTAAACATACCAAAGTTGAATCTACTCATTTGAATCAGTTTATCTTTTTCTTTGTTTGCCAGTTCGTAATGTTCACAACACTTAAAGTAAATAACGGCTTTCATGAAAATATCTTTAAAAGCTTATCCTAAAAATTAGTTCTCATCACGTTTCATATGTTAACATGGTCACAGTCACCCTCTTTATTTTAAAGCTCACTTAAAAGATAGTCAGAATATAAGTGATTTGCTGGAGGTCACGGTGAATCCAGGATGAGTCAGAAATAGAAGCCAGCTGTTTGGACGAACTGCCCTGGGCTCTAATCACCTCAAAAGCATTCATTCCCACACACCCCATTATTACAGAGACACTGGTCCCAGAGCCCTGTCCAATCCATTTTCTAAAAAGGGACTTTAAAAAGTTCAAACTTCCCCTCTCACTTCTCAAATTTGATTTTGACTGATTGCAATTTTTTTTTTTAATCAAAGTCAAGTATAGCCATTTGGTAATTTTCAGACCAAATAATCTATTTAATAAATTGGCAGTCTCTTTCCTTATTTCGTATAAAATGTCACTGTAAATTCTAAACAGTTTGCAAATCACAGGTCTAGAATTTTTTTTTCTACTTCATATCTTCCTGATATGAGTTCAGCAGAGGCTCCCAATATGCTAGGAACGGTGACAAACTAGTAGAGACACAAATCTTATTTCTTGGCTTCAAGTTTACCACTTATTATGGAATACAAACAATGAAGCACCAACACAATGTGTAAAGTCGCCTTGTTGGAGGAAGCGCCAAGTGCCAAAGACCTCATAAAGGGAGTATTTAATCTCAGTTCAGGAAACACAAAGATTACTTAGAAACAGTCCCCAGAGATGAAACTAGCCCATTGTAGCGGATTGAATTGGGCCCTCTTTTTAAATATGTTGAAGTCTTAACCCCCAATACCTCAAAATTTGACCTTATTTGGTAATAAAGTCTTTACTCAGTTCATCAAGTAAAAATGAGGTGATCAGAGTGGACCTTTATCTAATATGGGAGGTGTCCTTCTGAAGAGAGGAAATTTGGACACAGAGACAGACCACCCAAAGGGAAGACATGTGAAGACAGAGAAAGACACATGAAAATAGCAGATTAGAATGATGCTTTTTACAAACCCAGGTATACCAAAAATCGATTGTTAGCAAACCACCAGAAGCAAGGACCTGCGATGCTTTGATCTAAGGCTTCTGGCCTCCAGGACTAGGAGACCGTAACTCTCTGCTGTTTTAAAATACCCAGTTTGTTGTACAGGTACAGGGAATTAGCAGCTCTGGAGTGCTCTGTGTGCCATATTTAGCCTGCACTTTGCTACAGCGGAACCTCTGCAATCCGTGTCTCTGTGATGGACATTGTTCTGCACATCAGCTGATAAGCAGTAAACCCTGCATTTCCTCTGCAGTCAGCAGCTTGAAGCATCAAAGCTTCTGTTCCAACACCACATCAAAACTCAGGAAGCTTTAAAGTTCATCCAAATACCCAGCCCTTGCTGAAAGAAGACACCAGACATCGGGACTCCAGAAACAAGCCACACACTGTCTCAAGAATCCCTCTGAAAAGAAATACCAGATAGGTGGACCTTTATTTACATCC